TTTCATGGTTTATGAGATTTCGGCGTATTTGGGAGCTAAATTTGAGTGTATGAGGCTCCCGCGTAGGCAGGATACATCCTTTTGAAATTTTTAATCCTTTGGGTGTTCCGGTTAATAATTTTTCCCCCCAAAACTTTCACGGGGGCCGTACGTGGTTCCCAGACGCACGGAAAGACTGAATTTAAATTTGCGAGGTTATACGTGGACGAAGGACATTGCCCTAAAATTTTAGCTTCTTGGCTTTCGTGATCTCGAAGAGATGTAGATTTTCTTCGACAAAACTTTAATGGGACCGTACGTGGAATCCAGGCGCACGGGAAGGCCGGATTTAAATTTGCTGAGTCGTACGTGGGTAGGGGACGTTACCGTAAAATTTCAGCTTTCCATCTTTCATGGTTCTGGAAATAATAATTATCCCTGCCAAAACTTTCGCACGTGGTACTCAGGCGCACGAGGAGGCTGAAATTAAATCTGTTGAGTCATACTTGGGAGGAGGCATTTACTAAAATTCCAGCTTTCTAGCTTTTGTGATTTCCGAACTAAAAGTTACGAATGAAATGTACTCAGACAAACACACACACACACATACATGCACACAAACAGGCCCATGATAATGTGCGACTTGTGCAGCTGTTGCACAGCACAGAATGCATAAAAATAGAAAACTGTTATCATATCTGAGTTAGTTTTAGCAAGCAGAAAGTATATGTCATGACATAGTATTTCAAGAAAATGTTTTATTTAAGGTTATTAACTGGCGGTCTTCCGGATATTTTTGATTTTTAAATCCTTCAAAAGACATAATTATAGATGAGTTTATGAAGTAAGATTACTAAGGTATATTCATTAAAACTGTTCATCTTATACACGGAGGAGGGAAGGCGTGAAAAGAACGGAAACATTATAAATTTAGCGTCGTTGAGTCCAGTTTTTATGCGTTTTGTGCCGTGTAACAGCAGCACAAAACGCATATTGTCGCGGGGTTATCTGTGTGTTTGTGTTTGTGTGTCCCACATTTTGTCCCGTACTTTCAACTCGAGAACCACAAAAGCTAGATTGCTGAAATTTTAGTATAGTGTTCCCCGCAATTGAGTGACGCGGCAAATTTAAATTCAGCCTTCTCGTACCTGGGGGTAACACGTACGGCCTCGTAAAACTTTTTCGGGTAAAATCAGTATCTCGGGAACCACGGAAGGTAGAAGGCTGAAATTTTGTGGGCGTGTCCCCCGCCCATGTGCTACTCAGAAAAATTAAATTCAGCTTTCCCCTTCCCGCGGGTAACATGTGCGGCCCTGTGAAAATTTTTGACGGGTAAATTATCTCGGAAACCACGGGGTCTAGGAAGCCGAAATTTTAGGTTAATGATCCCCTGCCCACTTTAAACCTTGTCTGTTCAAATGCAGCGTTTCCGCGCTCTTAAGTATCGCCTACGGGCTGGTGGGAGTTTTTGCGGGTTAATTACTATCTCGGGAATCATAAAGTCTACGAAGCTGAAATTTTAGGGTTGCGACTCCTTGCCCACGAACGATCTTGCAAATACATATTTAGCGTTCCCGCGCTCCCAGGTGTCACTTACGGGCAAGCGAAAGTTTTTACGAGTAAATTATTATTTCGGGAATCACGGAGTCTAGAAAGCTGAAATTTTAGGGTAATGACCTTCTGCCCACGATCAGCCTTGCCTGTTCAAATTCAGCGTTCCCGTGCTTTCGGGTATCACCTACGGCCTCGTGAAAATTTTGACGGTTAAGCTGTTAACTCGGAAATCACGGAAAGATATTCTCCCTTCAGGTTTCCAAATTCAGCTTTCATGCGCAGGTGTATGAAATTTTTAACTATTTTTCAACGTTTCAACTATTTTTGCATAGACTAAAGTACAAAGCAGCGAAAATCATTAATAGGCAATCGTTCGAT